TTTGAGATAAAATCTGAATGAAAAAACTAACAATTACTAATCTCAGTAATTAAAAAACCCCTTAGAATATACAAAATTGAAGAATATTTGAGTAAACATTTGTTTTCAATAACTTCATCATCAGGCTCTACAGTTATAAGTCCATAATTATAATAATTTACAAAGGCCAAAATTAAGGCATGTATTAATGAATTTGACAATGTTATATGTTGAAAATGGTAAACGTTTGCATCTGTTACGATATATATATACTTCAAAATTGTAATATTTGACAAATTAGAAAGGTCATTCAATAAAGGTCAGGATGATTTACAGTAAAGTGTTCAGTCACAATAAGTAGAGAATAGTATTATAGCAAAAATCAAAATGCAAAAAAAATGTGTGAATAAGATGCATAGTAGGAGAATTTAATCCTGTCAATTGAGATAATAATAATAAGATTGTTGTGTGAATATAATATGTAATAAGGAGGGTGTTATCAAGGTAATTAAGATCAACGAATTGGGAATGATGGATGTGAAGATTAAGATAGAGATAACCAAAAATAATGATAATAAGGAAAAAAAATTAAATCAATAAAAATAGAGGAAGGGGGTAAGAGGTTTATAATATTCAGTCTAGGTGTTTGGTGATCCAGTCGTAGGCCAAGGTAAACAAAGAGGCTGGATATATTTTTTCTGGATACATAAATTTGGTCTTCTGGAGTTGATCCAGATGGCTTCGGCTATGTAAAGCAGTCGTAATCTAGCTCCGTGAGGTAGATATTTTGGAACTTGATATAAAACAGAGAAAGCTTCCTCTATTTTAATATGATGTTCACTATCTACCAAGTGAGAAAGAATGGTACTGTTAATTGATTTGGTAACTCCTTTTCCCAACCAAGCTGGTACATGTTCACGAACACGCAAGGATAAAGCCCTCTGAGTACGGCCTATGTAACTAGCTCGACAGGAGCACATGGAAGAGCCCATCTTCGGTAACCTATCCTTGATTAGTTGTGTGAGTACTGGTTTAGTTGAGAAAATGATGTGTAGCTTGGCGGCGTGAAACGTCCTTTCGACAGATCTTTTGAGTCGACGTCTTAAAATATCACCCTCTATGTCCCCTTTAAAGTCTATTCTTAGATATAAGGTCTTTTTACTGACTGTGTCACAATTTCTCCTTTTTTTAGTACTTTGTACGAGGTATTTTTTAACGAAATTACCACGATAACCATTATTTCGTAATGTGTACTTTAGTACATCTATTTCGTCATCCACACTGTCTTCAGAACATAATAACTTGATTCTGTGGTTGAGACATTTAACCAAATTTATTTTATATTGAAGAAGTGTGAAGCTTTGGAAATGGGTATACTGACCCGTCTATGTACTCTTTCTGAATACATTTCGCTTTATTGAACCGTCTGTCCTTCTAGAATGTAGGACATCCAGAAAAGCTATACTATTGTTTTTCTCCTCCTCGCTGGTGAATTTAATGGCTGTGTGGACATTTTTGAAAGAGTTCAACATTTCCTATCACATACCATTAGTGTGTCATCTATGTATCGACAGTAATAATCAAGCTTATTTAGAATTCATTTAAGCGGTCCATTTTCTAGTTTGGTCAGAAAAATATGAGCAAGGATTAGGCCTAGAGGTGATCCCATAGTAAACCCATCTACTTGTCTGAAAAATTCATTGTTAAACTTAAAGTAGATATTCATGGTGCATTTCAACAGATGTTCTTTCATTTTACTTACTGGGATCGGTATCTCTATTCTCTTTTCTAGCAATTGTTCACATATGTAATCGAGGGATGTTAGTGAACAAAGAACTTATGTCTAGCGATAACATGGTTTCGCCATTTATATTCATGTTTTTAATTGTATCCACAAATTCAAAGACGTCTTTAACACTATGCTTAACCAGTTCTTGGTGCAATGGTGTTGAATGGTATGGTGAGTTCGCCATATCCAGTGTCGTGCGTAAAGGAACATCAGGTTTATGAATCTTAGGTAGACCATATAGTCGAGGGGTATGTGTTCCGGAAGGCTTGAGGGCATTTTAGGTGTGATCATTGTTGTATTGATGTTGTTTTAAAAATTTTAATGCTGCAGTTGGTTGACGTTCGGTCTTTACATGACCCAAGCTTTTGGAATTTGGTTTGATCTCTCAGTAGAGAATTCATCTTATGTATGTTATCTCTCTTGTTTAGAATTACAGTGCCTGATCCTTTATCACGTTTAGTGATAAGGATGTGTTCATTCAGCTTGAGTTTCCGGATAGCCTCACGATGTTTATCTAGCAATATACTATTTGTGTAATGCTTTTTGTTTTTAAATTGGTTACAGCAATCAACCAGCGTGGTTTTGAATCGTTCATGTTCGACCTTTGTAGTGGGCTTTAAGTCTTGTGTCTGGGTAAAAAGATTCTCGAACTGAACATCAGTCTTCAAATTATCCACATGTCTACGACTATCACAAAACTTAGGACCTAATGATAACACTTCTAGTTGAGTCCTATCAAGATTAACAGAGGAAAAGTTCAAAACATACCGCTTACAGTCGTCTGGAAAATCCGGTTTAAATATCTGTTTGTCTAGTCCTTTGATTAGGTCGACTCTTTTTTTTTGTTTTCACTCGTTCTTTGCACTTCGAGGACATAAGTCATAAATGAATCCTTTAAGGTTTGGGGAAGATCTTCAACAGCATATAATCTGTGTAATATCCCTTTCTAACTCAACAATATACGATTGAAGAGATTCGATTTGACTAAGTGCATATCTTAGGTTATATTAGGTTTAATTTTACATCGAAGTAAGGATTTACAAGTCTTTCGGATATCGGTGTGTAGCAATGTAATTACGGATAAAATCCAGATTGGTCTTCGCTTCTGTGATAATAATAATAATTTTCATAAGAATTTTAGACATTTTAAGAGCCATTCCACAATTTCGTGTAATTCAAAGTGAGACTCAATAATTTTTGAATTTCGTAGGAAAAAGCGGAAAGCCAATTCATCAATCGACCGTTTTACTTTTAAGATGTTGTATGTAATATAAAGTCAAATCTGTATGATGCCAATTCAATTTATTACCTAAATTTTCTTTTTTACTAACTAAATTCAAATTTACTAAAAGACTTAATTGAATGAAAATATAATCTATTTGTTTATTTGTTTAGATGTAAGCAATAGTTTAGACGGTGTAAATATATCTTCATCAACCATTACGTCATCAGCGTTAGATTGTTACGCATTAAATGATTTATCTTATTCGTTACACCAACCGCAACATGTTGGATTTACTACTTGTCGTAATAAAATTAATCCTGCACTGCATGAAATACCAACAGTTACAATGAACCTTTACAATACTACTGATAATAAAAGTAGCATTAGTAAGAGTTATGACAAACATTTTGTGAATTTATGGAATATGGACTCACCAACGGTTATTGGACAAACAACAAACTCACTTGAAACAAAATATCCAACTCAATATTCTCATTAGGGATAGAATCGGGATATACAATCAAAAGCATACTGAGAAAATACAAAATTTAATTGATTATTCGGCTCTACGACAATAATAATAAGACAATAAAAGCTTAACTTATCAGTTGTTTCTGAAAAACTACTGCATTACAACTGTGTGCTGAATTCATATTCATATGGATTTACAATAAATAACTTGAGGTAATAGACTACATATTTAGTTTCCATAAATAATATGTAATTTAAAATTTCAGAAAATAAATTTGTATTTATTGGCGAATTAATAACACTTGAATTTTATGCAGTAAACATAAATTATTCATTTATATTTACTAAAGGAAATCGTGGAGTATAAACTGAAGATGGGACTTTGTGGTCAGAGAGTTCAACGCCCATCTCTTAGGTAGTTTCACAAACTGCAGTTCAATAGTTGGGTAGTATCACTAATCAAACTATTTGTGTGGCCAAAAGTTTAGTACATAAACTTGTACTTAGTAAATAAAATACATCTCATAGCAATTATATGGATTGTTTCTAAATCTGGTTTTAAGAGCTTTTAGAGTAAATAACAAAATGATTGAAATGTAATGGATCTGTAGTTCAGTAGGATATTTTGGTGATGTGTTATGTGAGCTGAACGAAATTACCAACCCTTCATCCGGAAAGGAGTGACTTTACTTCAGGTGTCTCAGTTCATTTGATGACATGAATTGTGGTGGACAACCCGCACAGACTCCGTCATGCATTGGTCTTTCCATTCTAATTGATTTTATTAGGATGAACAAGAGACTGATTCACCACTATCATGTACATTAACGAATTAAATATCGATATGTCTACTGATTGCGGATTGAATTAAATACCATGCTGTAGCATGATTTGAGTTCCCTGTATTCCCAATCCTGGCAATGTCTAGAAAAATAGTTATTCCGTAATTGCGCGCATTTCATATGATGATACTTTCATACAACGTCATTTTTGGTACACGGTAGCACAAAAATCTCCTTATACCAGTAACTGGTGGCTTAAACACTAACTGGAGTATGTGACGGTTTACTATGCTCGTGTGAGAAAATTGTGAGTCAACTTATGAGTATATTCTGTTAAACATCTTTCTTCTTGCATATCTTCTCAGAGAAATGTATAGGTACTTAGAATTCATAAACACAAATAAAAATGCAATTGCTTTCTAAAATGGATATATACTTGTACGTAGCTAATTCATTGATATGTACATTTTTGCAGCACTCTCTAAAGGATCGACTTCAAAATAAGTTGATCGCAGGCAAACCATACAGATAAAATTTTGTAAAAAAAGAATGAACAAGTCATTTTTCTATACTTGTAGTACATAATAGGAATATATGGCAGAATTCTCATAGCGTTATTGTCCTATAATAAAAATGTACAAATATATTTCAAAAGATTGAAAAAATAGAATATGACACCCGTGTAATCACAGGGAAAAACAACATCTGAGTTGATCAAACACTATGAATATCTTCAGAAATAAAGTACATCTTTTCATATAACTTTAGATATATTGTTGATATAAACCAGTTGAAAAGTAATAGCAATACATAGAATTAAAACTGGAAAAATTAAAATTTTATGACGAATTGATAACAAATTATTATTGGTTGACATAGTCACCTGGTTGTTTATTATTTTTCTTTGAGAGAAATAATTTGAAAGTGAACGAGGAGGCAAAAGAATTTGAGCATGTAGAAGATGTTTTTTAGATATTTGATTAGAATTATCTTGACGAGCACTTTGAGCAGCATGTTGAACTACTTGGACAACTTCTGCTCCTGTATAATTATTCAATTGATTTGTAGCGAATACATTTAACCATTTAGAATTTAATAATGATTTATCTTTTAGTGCACGTTTTGATAATTCTAAACGTAGAATATCTGTCCGAGCTTCTGCATCAGGTGGTGATACTTCAATGACTAAATCAAAACGACCAGCGCGACTTAATGCCTGGGAGAAAAGCATAAAAAGTTATTCCTAGTAAGTTGAAGATAACCAACAAAGAATAATTGTAATTCTTTTTGCAAACAGATGTGAAAATATGTACGAATGCAGAAAATAAATCACTGAACCTAATTTAAGAATAATTCGATTCAGTTGGCCACGACTTACGTATGTCCAGAGAAGGAGGAAGTGATCAAGAGATAATGTAATCGAATCGAGGTAATGACATCAACTGGAGTGAACGGTATACAACTGGTTTGAATGACGTAGAGCAGTAGACCTAAAGGTTATGGTGTTTAACTTCCAGCCACCAAGAACCTGGTTTGAATCCCCGTCCACCTACTTCAGTTTAAGCAAACTGATGTCATCATTAGCTTTCATACTTAGAGTGTCGCTTATATCCAGGTACATGATGAATGAGTTAATTTTTAACCGAACTCCAACTATATATATTACAATTATTCCAAACCTCAACAAAGAATTCTACATTTCCCAGCACGACAGATCAATATTGGCCGATTGCTTCATGAATTGTTTTTTTACCATTCCTAACTCCTGTTTCAGACAGTAATGCGTGTTGAAGGGTGGTGACTGGGGATGTGTGAAATACATTCTAACCATCTCAGAAGACTATTTTATCAATCAATTCGGCATTTCTATACAATTATGTATCAGGATTAAATTTACACGATACTTGATATCGCAAGGCTAAAATTCACAGCAGATGCCAAGTGATTACACCTATTTACTCTTTGTCTGTACTCCTATACTGATTAAATGTGACACGTTTCTCTGAATAAGGTTGATGTAGACGTTAAATCAGTTTTCGAGGTTTATAACTAGCTTTTGGTGGGAAATGAGATAAATGTAATTACCTTGTCAATATTAGGCATCTTTTTAACGTTTGCCTTATCAAACATCTTTTCATTAACCGAGACTTGTTTTATAAGCTTGAGAAAGTCACTATGTATCATGTAGGAAATCGACAACAATTGTTTGCTCACTTTTGCTCCAGACATCTTGATTATCAATCCAACTGGAATTATCTCTCTTAATGTTATAGGTGCCAATCACATGTGCAAGTTTCACTTACCCAGACATTGAAAGTCAGCAGTAACAAAATGCACTTTAAAATCTAACTAGGACATCTTCTTGATAATTATCTGCTACGTTTGAAGAGATTACGATATCACTTGAAGCTGACGAACGGAACGAAAGTCAGCAACACAACAACAGGAAAAGCGAAACTATTCCACTGCACCCCATCCCTGTTAACTAGAGGGAGAACACCAGATTAAGCCGGGGGAATGTATATTACACAAGCAGTCGAAAGCACGAATAAACAAGCCCACAACTCATGCGTATATATACAGTACAAAAATGTCCTTGACAAGCGTCACAAAATAGCGTACTAAAAAAGGGAACGAACCAATGACATTTAAGGTCTTTCTGAGTGGGAAATAGAACTGGAGCTAAAAGTGGTAGTTTTTGGCATGAAAATGAGAAACTCAAGTTCCCAAGATAAAATTGGGATATTTACCAGGTGACTTCTGTGGATCTAGCATTGCCAACATTATCCAAAGTCCCAAATGCAATTTTCATGGGAAATTACGTTTTGACTATAGTCCAGTTAAAAGTAGAGGAATGATAAACAATGGATCTCTGCTAAATTAATAAATGTTTGGTGGGACACGAAACCTGAAGGTCCTCAGGTGAGTTCAGTCCTGTGTGGGGTAAGCGCATTTAGCTGAGGAATTTCAGCCTAAGACAAAACGATCGATTACTACTCGCATGTTTCCAGTGTTTATTCAGATTATAACCGCCAGTTATGAAAGCTGTTTTTAAAAGTTAGATCAAACAATAATTACTCACAGAATCTAAATTATCCATCCTGTTAGTTGCTGCTACGAGAATTACTTGTCCATTTTGACCTTCAACTCCGTCCATAGCCATTAGGACTTCACCTAAGACATGTTCACTTGCACTTGTTTCTCTAAATAACAACGAGAAGTTTCAAAAGATATCAGAATAAGATGTATGATTGTTTGAAGTCTGGAACGGATGAGGTAACTTTCCTCTTGAGCGCCTGATTCAAACTACTTTAGCTATTGCATGCCCGGAAAAACTCCCAAGAGAAATAACGGGATTATTTAACTTCCGAGACTTTCACTCACATAATTAATATCCGATAACTTATGTAAACCAAATACTCAATTTTGTGAAACTGTCTGTTTATATGTAGAGTTGGACGATGGCAAGGATTGGAATTCAGGGCGCGCATCTTGTCCTATTCGGGACTCGCCAGTTACCAGACAACCTATGCAAATGAATTAGTTTATACCTTAACAACAGTGCAAAGTTATGATACACAAATTAAAACATTAATGACATTAGCAGCTATTTACAGGTAGTATGTATACTAGGTATTAAGCCCGACCTAAATTGTGAAAGTTAATAAGACGCTACTCCACTATCAGAAAGAAATAGGGTAAGGCAGGCTTTAAATGTCCTGTATCAAGTGACAGATCAATAACTAAACAATTCGAGAAAGGATCCTACATCTTATTTTGATAAGCTTGAAGACTTCATGGCACTTAGAATTACGCATCACTAGAAAATAAAATGATACAAATCAATGACTACATGTATAGATTTGGATACTAGTGTTCGAGACTAAATTAATTCATCAAGAAAGAAGTTAGATGGACTATAGCAATACTATGTAGATAAATATTACAAACCCTGAATTTCGGGAAGGAAGCAACAAATCAATTTCATCAATAAATAAAATAGCAGGAGCAGAAGCACGAGCATGTACAAGAATTCTTCGCATGTTACGTTCACTGTCACCAACATAACGACCAAATATTCTAGATGCCTGAACTGCGATTAGCGGGAGTTGACATTCAGTAGCCAAAGCTCGCACAAACATAGTTTTGGAACAACCTAAGCACAAAAGATAAAAATCTCAGTATAAATGAAAACACTGAGTGAATAGTGTACAATCTAATACATTAGTTTAAAAAAGTTCCATATTACGTGACAAAATAAGTTTAGTGATTTAAAATAATGTGCAGACTCAAGGGCTGTATCAAAGCTGTATGAATAACACTTTCTCATCTTTCTAGATAAGTTATCAAAAAGCATACAGTTACTGATAAATCTTCCGACTGAACGCTTGAATCTGTTTCATAAGTTCTTCTAATAACCCTAGACTAGCTCTACACGACAACTTGAACACGAGAAAAGGCGCGAAATATGGAAAGAACGCTTTACTCCATGGTTAGTTTATGTGAAGAAAGTCTAGAGTATTTATAGCATTTCAGATGACTTTGGTTTTTCTGAAACTCTTCCAAACATTGTGGTAGGATGGATAATCGTCCAATCAGAAATGTGACACACGACTCTGAACCTTCTAGATGTTTCTGAGGAACTTCGACTTGATGGTGGTTGGATAAAATGATTCCCAGTGTTTTCAGGGCAACTTTGGGCTTTTTTGAGGAATTTTCTAGGTCTTCCCAACACCTTCCTCCTTCTAAAAATAAGACTTCTCCTTCGAGTCTATTTGAAGCTTGATGACTGGTTTCCGGCAGCGTTTCGACCTCTTTGGTGTCCAGTGACTATGAATGTCCTTGAAAGTTCCTGTCATTGGAGTACATGTAATTATCTCCGGTGGAAGATGCACTCGTCCATCTACCGTGTTCAACGTCTTTTTTTCTTTGTGGATTCGATTGACGTATCTAAGCCACGCTCCAAACGTCCCGCACAATTTTTACAAAACATTTCTTATTCTATTTTCAAAGACTACAGGTTTTCAACGACTTTTTCCAAGGTATGACTTGATGACCACTTGATCACCTACGTTAAAACTTCGGATAATCTGATTTCCTCTGCATCTATCAACTAGTTCAGCCGGCAACAGGGTTTCTAATATTGGGAATAGAGAATAGAATTTAAGTTTGCGGAGATGGTTGGCAAGCAAAACTTACCAACACCAAACATAACACAGTAACATGAAAATTGAAAGTAAAAAGCATATACTAATTATAATAATCATCATGTGCTCACTAGTCACTGGCTTCATAAGGCATTTCCTGGAGTTCTAGTGAGAAGCAGTGACCAGTTCAGCCGGATCTGTTATGAGATAGTGACTCACTGAAGACAATGGGGGATGGTGGCGCAATTTCGTGGATTGATTGAAATTATACATTAACACCGTTAGATGCCGGCTCAGTGGTCTAGTGGCTAAGCGCTCGCGCGAGACTGATAGGTCCTGGGTTCGAACCTCGCGAAGCGGGATCGCAGATGCATGCCGCTGAGGAGTCCTACAACAGGACGAAACGGCCGGCCAGTGCTTCCAGGTTTTCCGTGGTGGTGTAGCTTTAATTGACTCATTAATTCAACTACTCAATTACTACAAACTCTTTTCTGATAATCTGGGATTCGACGATCGAATATAGCGTGAGCATATGAAACACTAGTTTACAGAACACTAACAGGCACTGAAGAATTATATACCTACGTCTTGCTGAATACTTTAATAATGACGAAATGAACAAACCTAATACGTAGTGGTTTCAGTAACAAATTTATTACGGATATGTGTTAATAACTACAGTGGTAATTTTGAGTATTTACAAATAAAACTAATTGTAGGCATTTATAATTTATAGAATGAACATTATTGAAATAAATGTACACTGTGATTAACAATTCCGATTTTCCCAAAATCACACTGAAATGGTAAATTAGCGCTTTCTAATTAACACGAGTTTGTCTGCCGATATGTTTTTAACAGTTATCTTTTATCTAAAATAATAAATAAGATCGTATTCCACATTTTTCTGGTTTCGGTCAGCGATGAAGCACATTAATTCCGTGGCCGTTGTGAGATTTAGAAGATTCAGTTATGCAAATAAAATCTTATAAAATGTAAGTTAAAAACCCGCAAATGGAAAGTAACTTCCCTGGAGGACCATGAAGTAATATCCCACGAGGTACACGAAGACGCAGAGCAGCGTCCGCTTGTGCATCTACGCTATTGGGTTTGGCAGCACTAACCAAACGATCCTGTATCATAGTTTTGAATATGAGCTTCAGTTCACGATATCCACCAATATCAGTCCACCTTAACGGTTCCACTGAGGTTATATGTTGAGAAAGATTTATCGGCAAATATGAATAAGATTCATTCATCAAAATTTCACAGAACAAATTCAATGATTGATGAAAGTTTCTGGTTCTGGGAAAATCTTTTGAACTGTCGTTCTGTTTGGATAGGAAGGTTGCGTAGCTGACATGAACCAAGCGAACCAAATCCCTTCAAAAAACGACAGAATCAATAAGTAAAATTATATGTCCGGAAAAGTCGAGCTTTATGAATCATCCCAACTCAAAACACAAAATGATAAAAAAGTATTTACGACTCCAAAGTAGGTTTCGTAAATGATATTTAATTTAGAACACAATTAGCATCAATGCAGAAAGATTATTATTACAAACTACGACTATTAACAAATGACTTAATCAGTGCAAATCATAAAAACATTAAAAATATATTGTAGTGTTAACATAGAGATTCTATAGAAATACAGTTTTCGAATGAATTAGTTCATCTAATAAGTACAAAAACCTCCTGCATATGTCAAGAAAGCTATGAAGTCCCTGAAAGATAATCCACTAAATAAGTTGTGTGGAGTAATGACAGAGTTAGTCATTTGACGAACAACATACGTCTATTTCTTTAATACGTTTATTGAGAATAACCACATAAAGAAAACAAGACAAAACAAGAAGAAAGTGGCGGCACAAGAATACAAATTTCATTTGTGTATATGATCAGTCACTAATTACTCCTAGAGTTAACAGAATTTCGAGAATGGTTTAACCAAAACATAACACATATTCATTCCAGTTTATAAATTGATTAACGTTGGCGACGTAGAGTTCCTGGTTCGAATCTACAGGACAATCATAATCTCAACAAGTGGAGACGTTGGGTGACAAGGTTCAAATTAGTTGCTATAGTTCTTGTATATTCATCTTTTGTTCTTCCTTTTATCTTATATTCTTCTATGTATCTTATTTAGTGACTTCGTTATTTTCGCGTTGCATCCCCCAAGAATAGTTTTTTTCAGTCACTAATGGCATTATTTCTACTTGCTGAAATAATACGAGCTGTGATAATCTGGATTGATGAATTCCAGTGTTAGGTTCAAGACAGCGAAACTGGCTGTCTTCACCCTGGTACGGCCGGGAGAGGGGAGAGTCCGCTCTCCCTCTCAAAATGCTCTCACATGAACACGTGTATATAACTTCTGTCAGGGAAGTCCTACCCACTGCCTTCTCGTGGCGGGGGTGTTGCTTACGACATTGAGAAGACGGAAAGCGAATGTCCGGCGCTTTAACCGGGTTGGTGGACATGGAGAGTTCACCTAGGGGAGTTGGAAAACCCTGATTCCAAACCAATCGTGCAAATGGGCTCCAGTATCCTAAAGGAACAAATGGCGTATGAACCAATCGTTGGTCACCGGTTACCTTGGGACTGCATTTCCTTGCGGTGTCCCACTGTCTTGTGGATCAGACTTTCATGTCGAAGGCTCCGGGTATGGCCCCTAAGAAAACCACCTGCTTGCGTTTGGACGCCCGGCCAGTATCACAGTCCACGCACAAATAAAATCAAATGACAACAAATACCGGAAATACTGTTCTCGTTTCTATTAAAATTCAAACAACTCACATCCATCAGATAACATTCATTTTTATTTTTTTATTTTTTTTATATATTGCGTCACTTATCGAACTCCGCCTGTAGCTCTTCCAGAGTTACTGCCGATCCCAAGCCCGGGTAAAGGAGGAGGGTTGGGCATGGAGTTAGCGTCCCCATCCCGTAGAAAACTAACTCGCTAAAAAAAACGCTTACCAGAAAAATTATTCGAACCATTTAAACTCTGCCCTGGGAGTCAGGTCTTCATTTAGAAGAATTATGGCGCTTCATGGTGAAAGCTGAGTTCCTTCGGAAGCCACGAGGCCGATGCCCCTTCTAACAACCAGAGCAAAAATTTTTATAGGTACATGGAACGTCCGAACAATGTGGGAGACCGGGAAGACCAGTCAAATAGTAACGGAAATGAGGAGGTACAACTTAGCAGTACTGGGAATCAGCGAAACCCACTGGACCCAAGCTGGACAACAAAGGCTAAATACGGGAGAGATGCTACTATACTCCGGTCATGAAGAGGAAAATGCTCCACACACTCAGGGAGTTGCTCTAAAGCTGTTCAAAGTAGCACGAAATGCACTTGTAGGATGGGAATCTCACGGATCCAGAATCATCAAAACATCATTCAAAACAAAGAAGGAGGGGATCTTAATGAATATTATCCAATGTTATGCACCCACCAATGATAGCAGCGACGACATTAAAGATCAATTCTACGAGCGGCTGCATTCAATCATAGAGAAGTCCCCAAGAAAGGACCTCACCATTCTGATGGGAGATCTAAATGCCAAAGTCAGAATAGACAACACCGGATATGAGGATATCATGGGACGACATAGACTGGGTGGGAGAAACGAAAATGGAGAAAGATTTGCAAATCTGTGTGCATTCAACAAATTGGTCATAGGAGGCACAATATTTCCACACAAACGTATACACAAAGCTGCATGGATCTCACCAGACCACACTACAGAGAACCAGATAGATCGTATCTGCATCAATAAAAAATTCTGAAGGACAATGGAAGATGTGAGAACCAGGAGAGGAGCTGACATAGCTTCAGGTCACCATCTAGTTGTGGCCAATTTAAAACTGAAGCTAAAGAAGAACTGGACAACTGGACAAGCAGTATTACAAGGGTTCAATACAGCCTTCCGTCGAGATACTAACAAAATCAACGAATTCAAGATAGCTCTCAACAACAGGTTCCAAGCCTTATAGGATCTACTGAAGGAAGAAACTACTATGGAGGACAACTGGAAAAGTATCAAAGAAGCATTAACTTCAACGTGTCAAGAGGTTCTGGGTCTAAAGAAGCAACACCATAAGGAATGGATCTCTATGGAAACACTGGACAAGATCAAAGAAAGGAAGAACAAGAAGACAGCAATTAACAACAGCCGAACACGAACAGAGAAAGTCCAAGCACAAGCTGAATACATAGAAGCAAACAAGCAAGTGAAGAAAAGCATTAGAGCCGACAAGAAGAAATACGTGAAAGAACTAGCAACGACGGCGGAAAAAGCTGCAAGAGAAGGAAATATGAAACAACTTTACGATGCAACGAAGAAACTAGCAGAGAAATACAGTAAATCAGAGAGACCGGTCAAGGACAAAGAAGGAAGGCCAATCACTGAAATTCAACAACAGCCGAACAGATGGGTAGAGTACTTCGAGGAACTCCTGAATAGACCAGCTCTAATGAATCCACCGAACATCGAAACAGCACACACAGATCTTCCTATAGATGTCAATCCACTAACGACGGAAGAAATCACAATGGCCATCAGACAAATCAAGAGTGGTAAAGCAGCACGGCCCGACAACATACCAGCTGAAGCACTGAAGTCAGACATCGAAGTAACTACAAACATGCTTCATCTTCTATTCAAAAGCATTTGGGAGGAGGAACAAGTGCCGATGAACTGGAAAGAAGGACACATCAAGATTCCAAGGAAAGGAGATCTGAGCAAATGTGAAAACTACAGAGGCATTACACTACTGTCAGTACCAGGGAAGGTCTTTAACAGAGTGTTGCTGAACCGGATGAAAAATGCAGTAGATGCCAAACTTCGAGATCAACAAGCTGGATTCCGTAAGTATCGGTCGTGCACAGACCAAATTGCAACACTACGGATCATCGTCGAACAATCAATTGAGTGGAACTCGTCACTGTACATCAACTTCATTGATTATGAGAAGGCATTTGACAGTGTGGATAGGAGAACGTTATGGAAACTTCTTCGACACTACGGAGTTCCTGAGAAAATTGTCAATATTATCCGGAACTCATATGACGGACTACAGTGCAAGGTCGTGCATGGAGGACAGCTGACAGATGCATTCCAAGTAAGGACCGGAGTCAGACAAGGCTGTCTACTCTCTCCATTCCCCTTCATTCTGGTGGTCGACTGGATTATGAAGACCTCGACATCTGAGGGAAAACACGGAATACAATGGACAGCTCAAAATCAATTAGACGATTTGGACTTCGCAGATGACCTGGCCCTCCTATCGCATACACATGAACAAATGCAGATAAAGACAGCCAGTGTAGCAGCAGTCTCTGCATCAGTAGGCTTCAGCATACACAAGGGGAAAACCAAGGTCCTCAAATTCAGAACGGAGAACAGCAATACAATCACTCTTGATGGCGAAACTCTGGAAGATGTAGAATCCTTCACATACCTGGGAAGCATAATCGATGAACAAGGAGGCTCAGATGCAGACATGAAGGTGAGGATTGGCAAAGCAAGGGCCGCATTCCTACAATTGAAGAACATATGGAACTCAAAACAACTTTCAACCAATATCAAAGTCAGAATCTTCAATACCAACGTAAAGGTGGTTCTACTGTACGGAGCTGAAACTTGGAGAACTACCACAACCATCAGTAAGAAGATACAAGTATCTATAAATAGTTGTCTACGCAAGATACTCAATGTTCGTTGGCCGGACACCATCAGCAACAGCCTTTTGTGGGAGAGAACAAACCAGTCTCCAGCTGAAGAGGAAATTAGGAAAAGACGATGGAAATGGATAGGACGTACATTACGCAAATCGTCAAACTGCATCACGAGACAAGCCCTAACTTGGAATCCTGAAGGGAAGTGGAAAAGAGGAAGGCCAAAGAACATATTACGTCGGGAAATAGAATCAGATATGAAAAGGATGAATAACAACTGGAAAGAGCTCGAAAGGATTGCCCAGGACAGGGTTGGATGGCGAATGCAGGTGAGCGGCCTATGGTCCTTCACGAGGAGTAACAGGCGTAATTAAGTAAGTCACATATCGACTGTCTTCTATTATCACTCTGTGTATCCTTGTTTTTCAACTTACACAGCAGCTGGCCTATGGTAGAAACCCTGTTTTATCTAAACGATACTGAATCACTGACTAGTCGAAAGTTAAATACTACAACCGAATACGAATATTGAAACAGTCTTTCTGAAACCATGCATACCATTCAAACAGGCTTTCGTCAACGTTCGCATACTAATGCAGACCGGACGACAAATAGGGTTCGCTATGTCTTTAGAAAATCCTAATATCGACGTCTGTTGTCTATCTGAGATTCGTATTCAAGACTCTAGAGAAACAGTACAAATACGTTCTCCAACTGTCGCTTCGAAAAGCTTATTTCACGTGTGTTTATCTGGAGACCCTATGACATCTTCGTCTGGTTTTGTTGGCGTTGTTGCCGCACGAAGCGCTAGAGCTGAGGCAGTACTGATCGATCAGCGAGTAAGCGTAATAAAATAATCGGGTTACTAAACTAGAACGAATTTTATGTAGTTCAAATCACTAGTTCAAAATAAGTCTACTTACTTGGGCGTATAACCATGTAGTCGAGCCGCAACCTGAATAAGACTTTCATTTTCATCTGTTATCTCGCACGACTGAATATTCACAATGGAACCGTCAGGAGATTCACTACTAGACATGGAATTAGTCCCATGACTCAAACACGCTTGGATATTGTGATACAATATCTGATAACGTTTACTTGCATCGGGGAGTGATATTAACAAACGTCTATAAAATAGTTCCCTGCATTCATGAACACTAAAAACTTTGTCAATCGTAGTGGCTGTTGCTAGGATGCAAAATCGACATGTTGACTTTTGACTGTGAACCAAACTCTGGCTAACCGATTGGATTGATTCGATAAACCTTTCTAAAATGTTGGGAATCATTTTTGATTCAGCATCCGTATCAGCTGTAGAATGAGTATTAGTATCTATATTTTCATCGTTATCGATCCACTTGTCGATGTTAGGCCATAAAATAACTACAGGAATACAGTTTCTATTACTGACATCTAATTGCCCAACCATGTTCGTCAGCCAGCGATAGCCATGATGATGAGATTTATTAGTTAACTCGGTGACCAATTTAGATGTAAGTGTAACGAATACAGGCTTTTCATACGAGGACTACAAGAAAAAAATGACAATATCATACAAATGAAAGGAATATATATATATATATATATATATATATATATATATATATATATATATATATATATATATATATATATATATATATATGACTTAATTGGTATTAAGAAAATAGATTCAACGTGCAATAGAAAGGAAATTTACCCCATTTGTTGAAATTGAGTGGATTTGGTCATTGGCAATATCCTCAAGAAATGTACGTTTTCCACAGCCAGGGAGTCCATAAAGGATAATCCCAGGCGTTATATTGGAAGAAAAAACAGTTTCATTTCCATGAACACATGTTAATAGGAAGTTTCTGAGATAGCCAAGAATCATATCTCTAACCGTGTCCAACCCAAACAAGTAACTATTCATGTAATTGCCTTTTGGTATCAACTTGGAAATTTTAGAGCCTCCAAACCCAAATGACAAATTAAGTGGAGCTTCAGCTTGGACCAAGATCAACTTGGTAGAAGAACCAATCTAAAATAATGACGAGATGAATAATATATATATATATATATATAGTAAAGTATACAGTGAAAAACTTAATGAGACAAAACAGGCTACACTGACTTAAAGAATTAGTAAAGTTAGATTTGACTAGACAACTAATTTTTAACATTAAATAAAAATGACTTCTGATATCAAAAAAGCTGCAAATTCAGATGTAAGAAAAGTTGGGTATTGTAAAATGTAAACTGCATATTTATGAATGATGAACAGTATTAAATCAGATAATGTATACCAAAGTTAAAGAACTTGATAGAACGTATTCTTAAACGAAATACAGTCTTGCGACAAAACTATGATCCACAGTGTTTAATTACCAAAACGGTTCACGGAAAAGTCAAATTTTTCAGGGTATTCATAAGCTTTCCATCTAGTATTTTCTTTATCGACTGAATTCCGTTAAATAAATAAGCAAAACATGTGAACTAATACCTCAGAAAACGTAGAAGTACGAATTAGGGAACTAAACTTAACAAGATTATCAACAAAGGAGTTATTATTACCAACATGTAAGCTTAAAGTGTGCAGCAAAACCACTATTTATCCCACGGAAGTGGCTAGCTGAGAGAAAACTACCAAACCATTTTGTAACGAATACATATATATATATAGCTTATCTAAGAATCGATACCTAAATTAAATGACCAGGTATAGTGAGAAACAAGACATTCTAATACGAGGACAGAAAGTAAACGTCTACAACATGCGTCAAAAATTTAAAAATCTGCTGTTTAAAACTATTTATACAAAGTAATAGGCTGGATTACTCCAACAATGAAAAATATAGAGGAGGTGGAATAATCAATTCGTGCACAAAATTAATATGTCAATTCAAATATCGCCTTGAGACGAAACAAAGTACATTGTTTGTCCACACACCTAGAGTACCAACAATTAAGTTTTACTACATATATTACTCCCGACCGTTGTTGCTACCTTGACTTGGTGGTCGGGCTTGCCTATCGTGATGAAGCAACCGAGCTATACTGGCTGGAACAACCGTTCCTCAAGGTCCTACCATGTCAGACAGGTCGGTTGAAGAGCGGTAAGACTAAAAGCAACAAACCCAAGGTCCGAAGGCGAAGTCGTACTGCTCACTGTACAGAGGTGTGACAGCAGTAAGGTGTTTCCTTCAGACAACCAGCATGACAGCGATGCTGCCTTCCCACAAGGAGGGGTGGGGTTAGAAAAGGTCGACCCTAAAAATGCACACCTCACCTTACCTCACGGATTTCCGTCTCCGGCGGTAAGGCCGTTTGAAGAACGGAGCTAACACGTCGAAAACCTCCCACAAAAAGGCCGTGCGCGACCGGCCTCAAGCAGTTGTCCCTTGGGCACTGCGGTCACGCTCTCAGGTCACTGAGACCACCTCTAATCCAATTTCCTTTTCAGGTACCTCCAGAAGAACCCTTCCACGGTGTGGGCAACCGGGAAGTGATAACCGCCCTCATACCTCTAACAGCACCCAAGACCACTGTATTCATAATCAACCTTCCTCTTCAATTCCTATTATTCCTCCTACATCGACTTTCAACCCTAAACTTCCTCCTTCGGCTTCCTCCTCAAGTGTCACCATAGCCAACGATTTTAGTGCTCAAAACTCTGTCCCAGGTCTACTGAAACCTCGCTCCAAACTACACATTGGAGCCTTCAACGTACGCACTCTATGTCAAATCGGTCAGCAGGCTTCCTTGGCTAAAACCCTAGAGTCTCTTTCCATTGATGTATGCTGTGTCTCCGAAACACGCATACAGGATTCCAGTGTGGTCATTCACTTGACCTCACCTCGGCAAAACGGAGAGCCAACGAGATACACCCTCCGTGTATCTGGTGACCCGATGGCCAGTTCTCGTGGACTGGCAGGTGTAGGCATAGCACTAAGCATGAGGGCCGAACAAGCACTGCTAGAGTGGATCCCCGTCAACAGTCGTCTATGTGCTGTTCGGCTGAACGGCTACGTAAGAACTCGGAAGGATAGGGACACACGTCGTTGCCTTTTTGTCGTTTCTGTCTACGCTCCCACTGACTGCAGCTCAGATGAAGTGAAAGATGAATTTTACAGAAAGCTTTCTGAACTTCTTCAGAAAGCTAAACGCTCAGACATAGTACTCGTAGCAGGTGATTTTAATGCTCAGATAGGTAGCTTAAACCAAACAGAAAGGCATTTAGGTGGATATTTTAGTATTCCGACACAGCGAACAGATAATGGTGATCGTCTGCTGCAGCTATGCTCAGACAATCGTTTATTTTTAGCAAACACAAATTTTAAGCATAAGGAGAGACATCGTCTAACATGGCGACCCCCTACACCAAACCAACGATGGACTCAAATAGACCATATTGCCATCAGTCATCGTTGGAGAGGGTCGGTAGAAGATTGTCGCTCATTCTGGAGTACCTGCTTGGACTCCGACCATGCCCTAATACGGGCACGCATCTGCTTGCGCCTCACTGGACGCAAAAAAGCCACATTAAAAAGACCCGTTAGAACTGAGTTGAGTAACGAGAAAACCAAAAGTAGGTTCCAGGAACAACTGAGGTCACACTTAGGTAGTTGTGAAGACGAGGCTGACCCAGATGTTGCTTGGAAGGGCATACAATCAGCTGTGGAAACAGCAGTGACATCTATTAGTGACTTAAACCACAGAGTTGCAAGGAACCAGTGGATTTCTTCAAGGTCTGTCACACTGATGGATTCTCGCAAACTCGTCCCATCAGGTTCTGAACATGATGAAGAGCGAAAACAAATCAGATCTAGGTTAAGAAAAAGTCTAAGGAACGACCGTGAGCAGTGGTGGGTAACGACAGCAAAAGAGATGGAAAAGGCGGCGACTATAGGGAACACAAGACAGCTTTACAGACTAATAAAAGAAACTGGAATTAATAAGTCAAGTGTAAGTGAGATTATTTCCGAAAAAGATGATACTCTCATCTGCTCCCAGTCCAGACGTTTAGAACGATGGGCGGAACATTTTAGAGAACAGTTCAGCTGGCCTTCAGCTACTCTACAACTACCCTCCATTTCCAGACAATGTGAATGGAACATTGAAGTAGGTCCTCCAACTCTTGCTGAAGTTCAAAAGGCTATAGTTAATCTGAAACGAGGAAGGGCAGCTGGTCCAGATGGATTGGCTCCAGAGGTCTTTAAGGATGGTGGTCCAATTTTAGCGATTAGGTTGACTAATATTTTAGCTAAGATCTGGGAATTAGACTTTATCCCATCTGACTGGTCGCAATCACTTATCGTCCCAATATATAAGAAAGGGTCAAAATCATCCTGTGACAACCACAGAGGGATTAGTTTAACAAACATAGTATCTAAAATACTGGCCTCGATAATTATCAGACGTCTAACTAAGACTCGTGAACTACAAACTCGAGAGAACCAAGCTGGCTTTAGACCTGGTCGTGGCTGCATCGACCACATATTCACCATTCGTCAGGTTCTAGAACACAGGCATACCTATCGGCGTCCGACGATGGTGGTCTTTCTTGACTTAAAAGCAGCGTTTGACTCTGTAGACCGCGAGACTCTGTGGCAGTGTCTGTCATTGAAAGGCGTACCGCAGAAGTACATAAACCTTGTGAAGGCTCTTTACTCGAACACTACTAGTCGAGTCAGGGCTTATGGCGAACTGTTATCTACTTTTGCAACTTCAAGTGGTATCCGTCAAGGCTGTCCACTTTCTCCATTTTTGTTTAACTTCATCATAGACCTATTGATGGAAATAACACTCTCGTCGACTGAATTCTCGGGTATTGATCTCCTTCCAGGAGGTCCACTTATCGACTTAGAATACGCAGATGATATAGTCCTGTTTGGTGAAGACGCTGACAAAATGCAGAGTCTTCTGGTAGCACTAAGCAACAATGCCAGAATGTTTGGGATGCGCTTCTCTCCCTCTAAATGCAAGTTGTTGCTTCAGGACTGGTCTGCGTCAACACCTGAACTAAGGATAGGGAGTGAAGTAGTCGAACGCGTCGACAACTTCACTTATCTTGGAAGTCTGATCAGCCCTAATGGGTTGGTGTCTGACGAAATCTCAGCTCGGATTCGAAAAGCTCGTTTGGCTTTTGCCAACTTACGTCACCTTTGGCGGAGGCGAGATATCCGTCTATCAATAAAAGGACGAGTATACTGCGCGGCAGTCCGTTCTGTCTTACTTTACGGCAGCGAAACATGGCCTTTAAGAGTAGAAGACACCCGTAAGCTACAAGTATTTGACCACAGATGCCTTAGAAATATTGCTGGCATCTGCTGGGATCACTGGGTAAGTAATAGTGAGGTTAGACGTAGGGTATTAGGGAATGATGGTAAATCAGTTGATGAGGTTATGAATCTTCATCGACTGAGATGGTTGGGCCACGTATTACGTATGCCTGAACACCGATTACCACGACGTGCAATGCTAACCGGTGTAGGGGATGGTTGGAAGAAAGTTAGGGGCGGCCAAACCAAAACGTGGCATCAGTGCTTGAAGTCACTAACTTCTAGTCTTAGCCATGTTGGTAGATGCAGACTACTTGGTTGGGGTCCGCGTGACTTTCGCAACCAATGGTTGGAGACTCTTGGTGACATGGCTCAGAATCGATCACAATGGCGTCGGTGTATACACTCTTTGTCTTCCCTTAAACTAAGAGATTAAAATCACTTCATATCTTTCTTTCTACGAACTAATTCTTCCTTCCTATACTATATCCTTATTGCAACCTTTGACCTAACCACTCCTATGAATCCGGTGTTCATCTTGTTGTGCTAATGAGGTATGGCAACCTGGACCGATGCACATATGTGCCTGGTCCTACGTTGTAGCTGACTGACTGACATATATTACTACCTTCTGTATCAGCCTTGTGCTAAGCGACAATACAACCTAAAATCTGGGGCATGTATGTATCGGCTCAAGTTCCCATATCCCATTAACATAGCAAGGTGAAACTGTCAGAGGAAATCCTAGAGCAGTAGAAGTAGTGACAATAATATTGGTCATAGGAAAGATTAGGCATCGAAGATACAACTCAGGAAAATATAAATTAGTGAAATAAAAAGTCGTAGGAAATTTAAAAACTTAGGAATCAAGGAACGAAAAAAATCCATGAACTTGTACCACTGCGAACAGTTTTGAGCCATGTCGTTCAAAGTTGGTAACCACTGGTTATGATAATTACATGGACCCCAACCAGGTCGGTTGTACCTATCTAAATAGCTCAGTTTAGTGGTCTTGGTTCGGCCCCTGTCAGCCTTCTCTCAGTCTGCTCCTACATCAACCATCATAGTGCATTGGGGTCGTTGGTATTTGGGTGTACGTAATACATGTTCTGATCATCTTAGTTGACAATAATCTACTAACTTGTCAATCGATTTGCTACACTTACCTAGAACTATGCGTTTAAACTCAGAATTGCTAACCTGACGGTCACAAAATACAAGACTAATGGTTCAAAAACGCATGAGATCGAATACTAGAAACCCATAAATATCCTCTATCCTTTGAAGGCCCTATTTTGCACCCGATAAGTAGAACGAAGACAATCGTTGCACCGTCAATTCGTCTTTTAGTTGATAAATGAACACATTGCCTAAGTTACAACATGACGGAAGTTGAGAAAAGTCAGACGAACTTTATGTATTTGCACCGATACCTTGCCAGATTCTAATTCATCAGGATTGATGAGACTTCTAAAGTAATTAAGACAATTAATGCAACCGACTACTTCAATTTATACGATTGGCACAGGGATTGACAGCGAACAGGTCTTGAACCAGTATTTTGGATTTAGAAGGAGAGAAATGCATCCCAAATATGTTTGGATTGTTGCTTAAGGCAGTCCGGAGACAACACTGTTTAGTGTCTTAATCAAACAAGACTAAATCTGAGTATTTTAAGTCAACAGGTGAACCTCCTCGTCAAAGATAAATTTCCGATAAGTCAGAAGTATTATTTGCAAAAGAATGTTTAAGACGAAGTTATACAAAATTAGAGATTGTCGACAACTCTGACGAACACCGCTTGAAAAGATCGACCCCGACGACAGTTCGCCATAAGCTCCAAATTGATTAGTAGTTTTCGAGCAGAGTCCATACAGGGTTAATGCATTTCTTTGGTACATCTTTCAATGACAAACACTACCATAAAACCTAACGATCAGCAGAGTCGAACGCTGCCTTAAGATCGAGAAATGCAACTATGATTGGGAGTCCAGGTTTGAAGCCAGTCTGGTTTTCTCTTCAAGAGCACTAGTTGGGTGTTTGATGATTATTGAGGCTAATATTTCAGGTACTACATAAGCCAAACTGACTGAGCTATGGTTTTAACAACAGGTTCTAGTCCTGGAATGATCAGAGATCGAGGCCACATTCGGTTCTTATACTCAGGTTAATATCTTGGTCAATGAAATAGTTGAGACTAGGCAACATCCACCAAGACCTGCTGTTGCTCTCTTGCCCTAAACTAGCTATAGCCTTTTCTACTTCATTAAGGGTCAGGGAGTTTGTTGATATCCCATTCAGTTTGCTTGGCAAAACTAGGCAGTTGAGAAACAGTTGGAGAGCATTTTAACAGTTATTTGAAGTGTTCCACCCAGCATTCCAGATTTCTGGGTCGAGAGCGGACCTTTATTCAGAAGCACATAAACCTTGTGAAGGCTCTTTACTTGAACACTACCAGTCGAGTCAGAGCTTATGGCGAACTGTCATCTGATTTTGCCACCTCAATTGGTGTTCGGCAAGACTGTTCATTATCTGCATTTTTGTTCAATTTCACTGTAAACCTACTGCTGGAAATAACGCTCCGATCGATTAAATTTTCAGGAATTGATCTCCTTCCAGGAGGTCCACTTATCAGCTTAGAATACAAAGATGATATAGTCCTGTTTGGTGAAGACACTGATAAAATGCAGAGTCTTGTGGTAGCACTGAGTAAACAATGCCAACATGTTTGGGATGCGTTCCTGCCCCTCTAAATGTAAGTTGTTGCTTCAGGACTGGCCTGCGTCAACAGCTGAACTAAGAATAGGGAGTGAAGTAGTCGAACGCGTCGATAACTTCATTTATCTTGGAAGTTTGATCGGCCCTAATGGGTTGGTGTCTGACGAAATCTCTACACGAATTCGAAAAGCTCGTTTGGCTTTTGCCAACTTACGTCACCTGTGGCGAAGGCGAGATATCCGTCTATCAATTACGGGACGAGTTTACTGTGCGGCAGTTCCTTCTGTTTTACTTTACGGTTGCGAAACGTGGTCATTAAGAGTAGGAGACACTCGTAAGCTACTAGTATTTGATGACTTGGAAATATAGCTCGCATCTCCTGGGATCACCGGGTAGGTAATAGTGAGGTTAGATGCACGCTATTAGGGAATGACAGTAAATCAGTCGATGAGGTTGTAAATCTTTATCGACAAAGATGGTTGGACCACGTGTTACGTAGGCCTGGACACCGTTTACCACGACGCGCAATGCTGACTAGTGTTGGAGACGGCTGCAAGAAAGTTGGGAGCGATCAAACCAAAACGTGCCATCAGTCATTGAAGTCACTAACTTCTAGTCTGAGCCATGTTGGTAGATGCATACTACTTAGTTGGGGTTCGCGTGACTATCGTAATCAATGGTTGGACACTGGGTGGCATGGTTCAGAATCGATCACAATGGCGTAGGTGTATACACTCTTTGTCTTACCTTAAATCGTGAGATCAAAATTACTTTATACTTTTCTTTCTAATTCTTTCTTCCTGTACTATATACTTATGCACAATCTTTATTTACACATTACTATCATTGAAGTGACTACTTTTATGAATTTGGTGTTCAACTTGTTGTACTGACGAGGTATGGCAACTTGGACCGATGTATACATGTGCCTGGTCCTACGTTGTAGCTGACTGACTGATTATTCAGGAGTGGTCTCACCGACTCCCGACTCTTAATGTCTATTTCTTTGATAAGTCTAAAAGCGTCTTGTCTATCAAACCCATCTTTTCTATTCTCTTAGCTTTCGCCACTCGCTACTGATCACAACTATTGCACAGACTTTTAGTCAGTTTACGTTTAAGTAGCATTTGCTTCCCATCATCTTCTGAGTTTCATCATTAACGGCCGGTAGACACTAATCTCCGTCACCTAAAAATACTAATTAACCCAGGAAGATACAACCACTAATACAAGTTAATCAGCTGGTTGACGAACAACTACTATATATATTCCTAGTCACTACCAGCTTTTTAAAGTATAATCCTACTTTGGAAATAATCATACAAAGGGATAGACGGTTATACTATTTGCACCGAACATTTTAATTGGTGTCCGGGACTCTCCTGACTTACTTGCCTTTTTATTTCAGAAGAAAAACTGATATTCCTCATTCAATAACTCCAACATACACGACTCATACAACGAATAAACTGTTTGCAAAATAAAAGTCTCTCTCGAATGCATTCTGCATCTAAAACTGTCGTATTCATATCGAAAGAGTCACAAATTAGTAGGATTAGAAATTCTTAGAATTGTAGGCAAAATAATGGATAAGATAGTAAATTTTATTTTATTTATTTTAACACATAGTTATTGGCACAAGGAGGCACTAAATACATATGCGGCACACAAATCTCATTCATTATGTGTGAGGGCTGTGATACTGGCCGGGTGCCCAAACCGAGGCAGGTGGTTTTCTTAGGGGCCACACCTAGAGCCTTTGACATGAAAGTCTGATCCACAAGACAGTGGGACACCGCAAGGAAATGCAGTCCCAAGGTAACCGGTGACCAACGATTGGTTCATACGCCATTTGTTCCTTTAGGATACTGGAGCCCATTTGCACGATTGGTTTGGAATCAGGGTTTTCCAACTCCCCTAGGTGAACTCTCCATGTCCACCAACCCGGTTAAAGCGCCGGACATTCGCTTTCCGTCTTCTCAATGTCGTAAGCAACACCCCCGCCACGAGAAGGCAGTGGGTAGGACTTCCCTGACAGAAGTTATATACACGTGTTCATGTGAGAACATTTGGAGAGCGGACTCTTCCCTCTCGGCCGTACCAGGGCATTTGGGGGAACCATGTAGCAATACCACAGTTTTGGTCGTTTATCAGTATTTAAAAAAATATTAGGTTTCCAAAAACTGTTACGGACTCATATTATCGTCATAAATACGCCTTTAAATTTAATCAGTTTAAATTATTCTGAGTCACATCAAATACGAAATACTATACTCATTTTTAGGAAGGCAGGAATTGGTGATAGTTACTGAAAATACCTTTACTCTGGTAACATTTGACATTAACATAGTTTCTCGAACAATTCATAATGGAAAATAATGGCATGTTTTACAACTAATTTTCGGTGAAGTACCATTTGCCAACCAGCAATCCAAGCTATATTTGTTAGAGAATGCACTAAAAGATAGGTCACGCTGAATCCAAGTATACATTAGGCACTCCTATAATTGAACTATCCGTATAATCGAGTGTAACCGGACGTTAACAGTTGGCACAAAAGTTTTGTCTTCGGTCATCCTCCTTTGACTTTTACGATATGAGCATGAATTACGCAATTTATCACTATTTTCAATAGTACCAAGCCAAAACTTGGGTTTTACAATTTATCGTTATGAAACTCACTTTAAAAACAGGTTGATCAGTGAGTGTCTGAATAAGTTCACATGACCAAAGATTATCACTGTTGTTGAATGACTCAGAGGGAAAACTTAGGTCGCTGAGATGTGGATGAAAGTCATAATCCTCCTTTAGACTGTAAAATTAAGTAATTGAAAACAAGATAATTTTAGATGACTAAAAAGGTTTCAATAAATAATCCTAACTACAATTCAGAACAAAATAGATGCTGAAAACTGTCTAAATATGAAGTTTCTAAGAATGTGGATGAAGTGAAAAGTAGTTAATAGGTGGAATGCTATGAAGTCAAACAAGTGTCGAAAATGGATATTTACATCCAGAAAGCAGATTAAAATACGATAAGACATAAGTAATCTTTACAATTTCAAAAAGGCGTATCGATATGCATAAGACAAGGTTGCAATTAACTAGAACAGCTTTGACAAGTTACTATCTCAATCTCAAAAGATTCGGCAGTAGCGAAATACATAACACGGGAGCTAGCATAGAGATATGGAGCCCTACGCCACATGTTGATCTACAAGGTTGAATGTACCTGCATTACTATGACTAGTTTTCAGACATACCAATTCGATCGTTTTGGTCATCTGTCAAAAAGAAGTAAGCACTAACAGCTGAAGATCAGATAGTAAAAACGCCACAGATCAGTTCCATGGTTTGGTTCAGCCAACTCAGTCAAATTTTGACTCAATCAGAACAGAACGGTTAACTCCATACTAATGAGTGAGAACATGCTCATCACTCCAAATAAGATGGTTTGATGAATAAGCTCTTAAATGAACCTGCAAGGATATTATGATTATCGATCACAGACTTCATCCAAAAAATCGATCTCAATGAAAAGACTAATAACTGAGATTTGTTATGGGGAGATAAAGGTGATTTTCACACTTGAACTGATATGTTTTATTACTGATTCACTTTTGGGGCAACTTGTTAAACCAAGGAAATGAGTATTGCAGGAAGATGGTCGCATTCATAAAACCAAGTTCCTTGCGAGTTTTACGGGCTTAAATCAGGTCTAACAGATGGTTAACTGACTTTGTGTTGGAACTAAATATATGAGGAGGAAAAACATGCCAAACTGAGCTGCATAATAAAAACATCTTACATTGTTTGCCTGGTGTTTTGAATGGAGAACGCTTCTTCATATACTGAAATGGCCTCGACGATTAGCAAACTGAAGTAATCTCCAAGCGCTCGAATAGTCTGCTTTGTTCCAACCATGGTGTGTGACATCTCTGGAAAGTTTAACAATCAGTGTCAGAACTTACGCAACCTGTAATGCAGACTACTTTCCAAAAGAGGCAAAAGAACCGGGTCCATCGGAGTCCTATTTCATTGTAAAATTAGAATAAATCAGGTTACATAATCTGTAGTCTCAATGACTTGGCCGGAATCACACGGGTTGGTAGTTGAACGGTCAATCTTCGAGGCAAGTCTGGACCGAACTTGGATAACATCTCATCAGAGATCTCAACATTGTCTGAGGACGAAATCCCAACGACAGCAGGAAATTTGCAGTTTACGACAACAACTTGAAATACACAAAGCTGGTTCTTACGGTAAAATGAAAAAGGCAGTAATATGTCAGGCTTCATTTCGAACTGCATCAAAATACAAATTAGTGATGCAGGCCACTAATTTTTCTATGCCCACTTTTTCGGTATATGAATCAGTATTACGTGATGGCGAAATACATAGCACGTACATTAGGAAACGCAAATAGCGGAAAGGCATTACCACGTTCACCCCAAGGTTGTCATCAGGACTTCTAGGTCACTGTAGTTTGCAGAACATCTAATATTCAATATCTTTATTTTTAGATTGTATAGACAGACTGATGCCTCCGCCATCAAAAAGCCTAAGTAAGTAGTCCAGCTAATCAACTTCCCTAATCTCAATGAAATCTAGAGATTATTAGAAGGTTAATGTTTCCCCAGTTTACGAAGCGGCATGGTATTCAGTCTTCAGTAATGAGTATGGTATGTTGGTTGACCTCTGTTAACCTTGCAGATTGTTTTTCAGTGAAGGTCCAACTTCTCGTTGAAAATGCTCACTGTAGGGGCTGATGTCAATTGTTTGAGTAGGGCGGAAAGATTTATTAACATCAAAATCGTAATTAAAGAAACGGAATGTCAATAGTTGGTCACCTTGCGTACAACGATACAACAAGTGGAGAAGGTCTAGGTGTTTTAAGAGCTCATCGTAAGGGTTTAGAGAGACCCTCCACTAATTTTGTTCCCACACGCTGGACACGCTCAATTGAGTAAGTATCCTTATCAAGATATGGACCGGCTGCTTGGACATGTTACTATAGGCATGATCTTACGTAGCTGCCATATAAGACTCGAAACATCTCGTCAAAGCATTTGGATACCTGATGAAGTGACTATAACGCTTAAAAACGTTAGGCGGCTGATGCGTTCTATTGAGTGATTGTATTTAAATTGTGACTAACCATTACCCCTTGTTCATTGTATTCCTGCATACATGGACGCAATCTACCGTTGACAGTATACTGGTAACCATTACCGTGTCCAATGTGAATTAGCACAGTATTTCTAGAATTAATTGCAAAACAACATTGGAATCATTAAACTTATTCTTCTAGATCAGCTTGAAGATCAAAATGATAAGCTTCACTTTTTGCTGTTCTCCAGATTTTGACATCATACCCAAACAATATTGTCGACGACTTTAGCAGTTGTGGTAATTCGTTGATTGACGTGAAGAAGAAAGTAAGGGTGCCTAAGACAGTGCCTTGTGGTACACCAGTTTCGACTGCCATCCATTCAGATAATATCCTACTTATCCTCACTCTCTGCCTTTGGCAAAGAAGGACGTTTCTCAACAATTCTTACACGGTACCTGCCTCTGAATAAGGCCTAAGTCAGGAACATCATCAAATCTTTTGCTGAAACCTATGAATATCACACCAAGAGATTATCCATTATACTGGGCTGTTGTCCAATCCTCATTCGTAATAAGTAAGTTGGTTGAGCTTGAACGTCTGTACTGAAACCCGCGTTCCTCGATAGATAGCAAATTATATGATTCCATGTGACTTAGTAACATATAACGAATTTTTTAAAAGTAACTTCAATACTATGATAGTCAGACTGTCACTTCAGTAGTCAGACAAGAACTCTTTCTATACTTAAATATAGGAATGACTATAGCATCTTCTCAATCTCTAGGGAGTTGAGTGTGGTGAAGGTACATGTTGAGCAGCATCGTGAGTGGTAAAGCAATAATGTCTGCGACAGATGACATCAATCGTGAACGTAACCCATCAAAAATGTCTGTCGACCAATGATCTCACGCTTACGTAGCAATATTTCTGTTATTGAACAATGTTGTAGAAAAGTTGTCCTAGTTTTGGTCGGTCGCTTAGGTCATCGCACCTAAGAATAGCCTCTTTTAAAGTTCCGTAAGGTTACGAGTTATCACTAGTGAACATACTAGGCGTGACGTACCTGTTGTTGCCGCTCGATAGTGCTTTCGCAACCCTGAGGAATTGTGCAGATGTGTCTGTCACATCGTGTTTGCGGAATTCGGCCTCTGCGTGGCAGGACCAGGCTCCTACATTGTCGGGCCACAGTTAGAGAGCGGGTGGCGAGTCTTGATCTTAAGTCGCTCAGGAGTATATTCCGTCCTGATGAAGATAAAATGTGAGAGAAAATATCCGAAAATATGAAAAAATACCACGATACGTGAAAATATGAATTAAAAAATGATATGTAGTATTCCAACGAGGAGCGAACTGATTGGTGTGCCGGATCACGTCGGTATTCAAAGTTTGATAACGCCTCTAGAAGTAAAACCTTTGTAATTGAAGTACGCTAACTCCAGTCAGATTGGAAGTGAGAAATGAAGTGGTTCGAAGATATATTTGGAAGGTTATCGACATGTCAAGTCGTGAATAACATAACTTCACTAAGAAATACTACAAAATTAAGATGTTGAGTCATGGCTTATATGATGATAAAATTAATAAAATAATGTGAACCAAGAAAGATTTTGATGCATAATAATATGAATTCATTTTATTTTGTTACGTTCTTATTAGCTCTTTACAACTTATAGGTATGTCAATATATGTGATAACGTTGACTTCAGAATATAAATGTGTAATATCAACATGTAATGGGAGAAGTAGTGCAGAAGTTTACAGGAAACGAAACTTATGTGACAACATGTGACGAGGTAGTTTCCTATAAATTTAAACTAATAGCCGAAAAACTACACAGTGAGATACATATTACCATTTTTATGTAGTTTTTGCTTTACTGATGACCTACTTTTTTAGCGTTTGAGACATTACGTGAAATTCATTGTTTTTATTTTATTGTTTATGCCATTTGTTTCAACTTAATTGTAATTAAGATTAATAATAAGACAATAGTATTTGACTGAGACACAATGGTATGGGCTAAAGTTATTGAAATTCGAGATCAGTAGAACAGCTTGTATCACTTTTACCATTAGAAATTGAAATAAACAGTAACGAAGCGTTCAGTATGTACAGTAACTGAAAGTCACTTGCCATACTAGTTTAACTATAATTTTTGCGTGTAGAACTTAAAGTGATCACTGTTTTTAGATGATTTTTACGAACTCATGACTACAACGTTTGATGGTAATGTCTTACAAATATGCTACTTTTACACCCTTAATAACTTGCTTATTAACTCGCACAAATGGTAGTCATCTACCCCCCATATATCCTCCGGCACAACAGCCATTCCCACGATAGTTTACTTTTATTTCTAAAGCTTAGGAAGTGCAAAGGCGTCGAATATTTAGGTTGGCTATTAAGGGGATTAAAAAAGAAAGTCTCACATGTGGCCTGCTGAGCAATAGCCAAGAAGTTTCACTGTTTTTTTCAGCTAGTCACTCCTATCATTGCTAACTAAACAAAAAGCGGACGGAAAAATCTCCTAAAATATTCATTTTGCTGAGTTATTTGCCGCCGTCTAACCATATACCGGGAATCAGCTTTATATATAAGATTCCCAATACGGAGACCTATCGAACTAGCGAGTCAGAGGTTTGTAGCGCTAATAGTATAGGTATGACTGACAGACACTTGGAGCGGAAAGGAAAGTGGTGGAACTGGATAACACTGGCTCCGAACACAGAACATGTTATTTTGTGAAAATCTTCAAGCCTTTAGAAAATTAACCGTTTTTTTAAAAAACATAATTATATCTCAAATGATTTAAAATAAAAGTTGAAACGAGATTGGTTATTTTCATTGTGATATTGCTAATGGCGAAGTCCACTTTGATTAACTTTGTTTTATGTCATCAACAACAGATTCAAATTGTCGCTTTCAGCTATCTCAAGGCCACCTCCTCATTCGCAGATGGACTGTGGTAACGGCTTCATGATAAATTTGGAACATTCTTCAGAAAACCCTCTTGTTTGTTCAGTGTGCTCAGGTCGTGAAGTGTTTGGTATATTACCTGCTTGTCTGCATGTAGTGTGTGTAACATGTGCAGAATATATGCGTAAGGATGATGTATACCGTTGCATTTTATGCAAAGAATCAAGCCAAAAGGTAAATTTGATTATCCTTAATATATTTCCACAAGATTATCAGTAATCCTAACATTTGTAATTCCGAAAACACCAATAAGTCACCCACATGCAATTGGTGCCATGACAATGGAGAACAGACGAAATCAATCGGACATTGCGAAGATTGTGACATATGGTTATGTGGAGAATGCCTAAAGGGTCATAACAGAATGCCTCCATTACGTAACCATAACATTACACTGCTTTCAAAAAGCGAACATCTAGGTTGGTCATATGTAATGTTTCTGAACTTTGTTCAATTATTTATCAACAACGTCTACGATACTTGTTTTTATGTTTGTCAACCCAAGTTTTAATTTTTTATAGTTATGTCATTACTAGCAAGTCGATTTTTCGTGTATCACGCCACATTTCTACAGTCTAAAGGTAATGAACAAATCAATGTCGTTGGTTCATCGAATTGGACTAAGAATTCAATATGTCCACCTTCATTCTTCAGCAATAAGCTAGGAGTTCCATCGAGCTATATTAATCATTGCAATTCCTAACACTGGAGGTCCAATTTCGTTTTAAATTTGCCAACAAAATGTGCTGATATCACGTGTTCTGATGGAGGATCTCAGTTATTCACTTCTCGGTGCGAGAAACGGAATCCCAGACGTAAACGATTTGATCTCGGCTTTTGACTTTTCTTAGAATATCCTCGCAGATTATCAGTCCTAAATGAAAGGAAGAGATCAGACATTAAAACCAAGGTCACCCTCCGGTATACGATAAGCCAATCTTAGATCACCGTAATCTGCGGTAAGATGTCGAAAATAGGTTGTGTCTCAATCTGCCTTCACAGGATAGGTCAGAGAAACATTTTAACATGTCGGTCCCTCATCGGCAGAGTCAGTCAGTCAGCAGCAACGTAGAACTTTGAATGTACATACATCAGTTCGAGTTGCCATACCACAATAGCACGTAGATATATTTGTCGATTCAAATCCCATAGTGGTATAGGTAGTAAAGGTATAAGCAGTAATCGGAAGCATTAGGGTTGGAATATGTTATTCAAGGAGTATAATCCAGTGGAATAAATATTGAAAAAAGAAAAACAGGTACATGAGGAAGACTAGAATTAGGGAGAACCCAAATAGTTGATGCACCTGCGCCATCGCAAACGATTTTGAGCCATGTCATTCAAGGTCTATGACCATTGGTTACTATCGTCTCTCGGATCCCGATCAAGTAGTCTACACCTACCAACATGGCTCAGTCCAGTTGTCAGTGACTTCATAGATTGGTGCAGTGTTTTGGTCTGGCCGTCTACTTCCTTCCAACCTCCTCCTACACCATAAAACATCGCTCGTTGGGGAAATTAACGGTTGTGTATACGTAACACATGTCCCAGCCATCTCAGCTGATTAAGTTTCATTACTTCTTCAATTGATTTGCCATCCTTACTACTACCCGTTTCCTAACAACTGCATTACTTACTCGGTTGTCCCAGGATATACGAGCAATGCTTCGGAGACACCTACGGTCGAATACTAGTAACCTACGAATATCCTCCACTCTCACCGGTCATGTGTTTTCACAGCCATAAAGTAGGACGGAACGAATTGCTGCCCAGTAAACCTTCATTTGGTTGGTAGATGGATATTTCGCCTATGCCATTAATGACGCAAGTTGGCGAAAGCTATTCAAGCCTTTTGTATCCGTGCTGAGATTTCGTCACATACCAAACCACAAGGGCTGATGAGACTCCCAAGATGAGTGAAGCGGTCGACACGCTCAACTACTTCACTCCTTATCATGGGCGGAAAGTAGAGCGGATGACTGCTACAGTTAGCAATCCATCTACATAAAGTAAATACAATAGTACCAAGGATCGTGCCTTAGGGAACTCCACGTTTTACAGATTCCCACGCTGAGAGAGCTCCATTTACCCTTGCCTACTCTTTCGTATCATTGGAAAAGTCACTTGCCCAGTCTGTGACTTCATAAAAGATTCCAAAACTTTCCAGTTGTGATTTAAGAACCAGATGAGTGATCATGTCAAAAGCTTTACTTAGATTTATGAAAATCACATCTACAGGAATATTTCTATCTTTCGCTGCGGCCCAATCTATTTTTGCAATGAGCAAATTTGTCAAACGAGATGGTCCTTTCCTAAAACCATGTTGTTTACTGGAAAAAGGATTTTTCCCTTCCACATAATTTAAACTAGCCATCCGAATAATCTTTTCCATTAGTTCGACAACTGCACTGGTTTGACCAACGGGTTGATAGTTATCAACTAAGTCTCTGCTCCCTGTCTTATACACCGAACTGATTATTGTGTTTGTCCAGTCTTTTGGCAGTCTAGACTGTTGCAAAGACATATCAAACAGCATGGCCATAGGTTCAGCCATTACATCCGCCAGGTCTTTCATAAGCCTATGATAATTATCGTCCGGACCACTGGGTTTATCTGGTATAAGGTGTTGAATTAATCTCAAGATAGTTACTTCCTCAATAACTACAGGACCCATTGACAAGCCGCTCTGACTACGATTAATTATTGGTCGTTCTTCATTGCCGGTAGAAAACACTACTAAAATATTCCGACAAAGCTTCAGCTTTTTGTCATCTCTCATCACAGATTTTCTTGTACCAGAAGTGGTGTGATTCCATCACTCCTCTTAGTTTGCCTCTTTAAATACAAGAATAACCTTTTCAAACTTTTCCCACAATCCCTAACCAACTATTTTTTATATGACTATCTAGTCTTACCTAAAAGCAATCCTAGTCCTACAATAACTGGATGTGCTGTTCTAAGTCAGTAGAGATGAATATATTCCAATGCATTTAGGTTTTTTCATGTAGTTCATATAAATCAGGGGTGTAAACGCAACCAATTGTAGAAAATCAAGTAGTAGAGGGTCCAACTTTGATGCGTTTAGCGACTTTTTTGTGATTCCTGAGACTCGAATTGGTAAACTCGAGAAGGGGATATATCTCATTTCAGCGATTCTCTAGACACTGATTAACAGTTAGGAGTCTACACTCATAGTTTAACTGCAATTCATCTTATCATAGCCTGGCTAATGTTCGATTATTTCCTTAAAAATTTTTCACTTTATGTAATTGTTTTGAAGGCACCTGTTATTGAAATGAATTAAAATACTTGATTGTTTGAAAATTTTTCTCTATTTTAAGGCTCACTACGATGTGAAGCACACCCGAACGAAGCACTAGAATGCTTCTGTGAGGCTTGTGGAGTATTAACTTGTCGTGACTGTCAGCTATCAGTTCACAGAGATCATGGAAGCCATCGGTGGGTTGGAGAAAAAGCTGTCCAACTAAAGGCTCCTTTAGAAGAGGGCATTCAAAACCTCAAAGAATCAGGAAAAAAACTATCTTCTGCCTTACTTTGTGCTACTAGCGCTCGTACTTGCATGGAGGACAGCTTCATATTCAGTGTGGAAAAAGCTCGTCAAGATATCAAGTCACGGACGTCTTCCCTCATTGATTGCATTCAAAATCGTTCTGAATGCCTCTTGAATGAACTTGACAAAAAGGCAGATACATATATTGGTCGACTACAGGAGACTGAGGATTTGATACGTAAGCTCCAGGTATGTGTAGCTAACTAGCTTACTCTAATTTAACCGTTTTGCTTACCTGCGACACTACCTATGTAGTCCACGAAACTGTAAGTTTCTTATTTCATTCAAGATACGTACCTACAAAAAGAGACATATCTATCTCGCGTGGCCACCTATTTACCTACTTACATGTAGATAGTGGCGGAATCGCGGAAAGTTCATTGTTTCAATCCATATAAAAAGACCCAGCTAAGCTGACTATTGAATCTATTATTGACTAAAGATCCATAAGCTTTATAAATAGTAGTTGCAGAGATTTCGTAAAAAAATCAGGAACGTTATGAAGTTCTCTTTTGATTTCCATAAATGTTTCTTCGTGGACTTTTTTAGTCAGATTTATATATCGCACATAAAATGTTAAATATGAAAATACATGTGATTAATCTTTTTGTCACTATAAAGGAACAGATAAATTTTGCGTCGGCGTTTTCCAGTCATCTCATTCAAAATGTAGACAATGATCCTGCTAGCTTAGTGCAATTGTATGAAACTGTCAAACTTCGACTTGATTTACTTCAAATACTGTCTGAACAAGTTTTAAGTGATTCGCCGTCCGTAATTGATTCATTGGATCAAAAACTGAAAGATCGAGTTAAAGAGTCCAGTTTATGGTCTGAAAGTGTTATTGGCTGGCATACTATGGTCAATACACGAGCATTGTTTCTTGGCACCTGGGATGCTGAGGAATTATGCCGATATTCTGGAACGATAGCATGGTTACCCAAACAAGCTAAAAATACCTTTTCTCTCAAGGACAATAATCAAACATTTAGCAGTCAGGTAGTTGTAAAGACAGAAAATGTAAGTTTCAGGAGAATTTGAATTTTTGTTTATCAATAAATAATTACTGCTCATGAAAAGTGTCCTTGAATTTTTAGACAAATATATTTGTTTCCCCTAAAGTGTATAAACATCAAATTAACGTTTTTGATAGTTTAAGTACTTGTTAATTTATAGAAGTATTGCGTTTTGTGAATACCGTTGGTAAATTTCCGGACAAAAGTTAATGCTCCCCGTTTGTTGAGTTGTTCTTGAGCGAACTGGGGACTAAGTAATCTTTTAAAAAAAACGTCTAACTCCTTGTGAGTTTTGCCCTGGCTTTTGTATGAGATAAAGCGAAACCGTTTTGTAATGTGTATAATTCATTAATGGTTATTAGTTCGGAGGAGATATATGAATGGGTTATTTTCATATCGTTGATTCGACACTTTTGTGATTGAAAATTTTGAAGCGGTCAGGTTACGCGTAAATATTTGATTAAAAGTTATTACGGGAAGGCATTAAATGTTTCTTCCTATGCATCCAGTTTACGTTGATATTTAACGTATGGATTAGTGTTCAGTGTGATTATAACGTATTAGTAGAACGAATGATGAAACCAAACTTTTCATATTCTAAAGTAAATAATCTCTTATTTTATAGTGATGGGAATGGTGTATACTCAAAACAAAACATTAAGTCAATGTTACTCGTACATTAAAGTAAAGCTGACTACATCAGTTGCGACGAATGTTTCTAGGCTGCATTGGAATTCTGGTTTGTTGGCGTCCTTATAGCTATCATAGTTTGCCTAACGAGCCAAGCTGTATGATAAGTTTACAAATGTGTTTGTACAGTTTGTATTTTTATATTTTACATTTAACTCAGATAAATTTACTCCCAAGTTAAAATATTTTGTTGTTCCAGGGATTATCGAAAAATAATGACTTTGCAAGTAATCAACTGTCTGCTGATACGAATGATTTTCTGGATTCTCTAGCAGAATTGGATGGTGATAAATGGACATGTGGAGAAGCTAATGGTGAATCTAATTCTTCTCCAGTAGGATGTGCTATCTGTTTTGGAGTTGGACTACTCGCACACTGTGGGCGTTGTAACCGGGCATATCACTTGGATTGTCATTTGCCTCGGATAAACAGTATTTCATTAACACCTAGTTGGGTTTGTGGTCTATGCGCCGACGATGAGGTTGATTCAGCTGTTCATGTTGAGCAGGCAGTAAATGGAAGGTTTTCTCGCAGTGATTATCTAGTAAGTGTGGCGCATATATATCTGGTGCCCCCTCGTACCAATATTTGTGTTCAAATAAATAAATAGTAAGTCGGAGATATGCGGAAGAGCTTTGTTTTCACCTTTCATTAAATCGAAGAAAAAGATATTCGTTCAACGGATACTTTGCGAGAGCACAATTGTTTTAACAATATTTCATATAAATGCTCAAATTCCTTTCATTCCTTTTAAATTTTATTTATGATATATAACGCACATATTATATGCTCTAATTAGAATTTAATAGTTCCATATAATAAGCCATAAAGGAAAAACACTTTCGTAACCTAGCTTTTCTCAAAAGGCCAGTTGTCACTAATAATGAATGTTTTCGTCAGTGACGAGACATCGTTTATAGTAGTAAACATAACATATAGGTTTCTCAGTCAGTTAACTATAAATAACGTAAAAAATGCTTCAGTTCAAGTTTTTACAACGTATAAACACAGTGAGATAAAATTACCAATATGAACACCAAAATAGGATAAGTATTGGTAGTATCGGTGGAAGGAAAGAATAATCTTATACAATGTGATTCGAGAAGGAATGAATTCGTGAGATAAAATGCACAGAGTGATTTCAAACTCAGGGTCTAAGAGGAAAATAAAGAGTGAGTACGTCTGCACCACTGACCGATTCTAGGCCATATCACCGAACGTTTCAAACCACCAGTTACGATAACCTCACAGACCCCAACCACATATTTTGATCAGCCTAGCTTTCAGTGACTTCATGGAATAATATAACATCTTGATATGGTCATTTCTAGCTGCCTTCCAACATATTCCTGTACTAGTAAAAATCGAAAGTAATTGTAAAAGGTAGTTGGGCATACATGGTATATGTTCCAACCATCCCAGTCAATGACAGTTCACAATCTAATTAACCGATTTGCTATTTTTATTGTGAGTCTAACTTCAGTATTGCTCACTAAGTGGTCCAAACATACACGAGAAGTGCTTCAAAGTCATCTGTGTTTAAGTACTGCTAATACCAACTTCTTTTAAGGACCATGTTTCATAGGCAAGTTCGTATCACGAATGTAACCTGAACCGTTTCGTTCACCAGTTACTAACATTACATTCGAAGGTTAATGGATCTGTACGAAGTTATTATCTTACATTTGATGAATAAGTTTCTTGTCTACCCTGGCTTCATACTTAATAGTAGCTTACCAAAAAAACCATTAGATAAATCCGTCCCAAGATGTTTACAGTCTATCACTCATTGATAAGAGCTAATGATAAGACATCTATACATTCAACAATTTGAGTCGGCAGTTAGAATCAGTTGAATACCACTGCAAATGTTTGTAAATCAAGGCAATTTTGTATTGTTTTTAATCATAGTATTTCATTTCTTAAATGTTCGTGTTTCTCATTTGAAAATCACTTTGATTGTTGATGTTGCTTAATCAATATTTGGTCAGATTAGTATTTTTGGAAATTATCGTCTCACTTTATAGGCAGGGTGTCGAATTTTAATGGGTTTGCTAGTTCACGAAGAAGCTGTTCATTTTACTGCATCGGTTTGTCCAGCATGTTCGGTTCCCCTTCTATCTACTAGTCAATCCATGCCTCATTGTCCTGAAGGTCATCTTTATCATCGTCTTGCAGAACTTCGGTTATACTTAGAAGAAGCAGCTTCCACTCCAAATGGTCGTTCAGATACATATTCCAATCCTTATTCAGACAGTAATCAATGTCATTTCACTTGCCTCAGTGATTGGCTCATAGAGGTAGATAAATTTTGGTCAGATGCTGCTAAAGAAACTAATGTAAGTACCATTATATAATAATAGAAAACATTAATAATAGTTTGACAGAAATAATGCTAATTTTCAATACATAAGGGTTTTTGAAGAATTCCATTAGCATTACGATTTGTTGCAGGTTTTTCAAAATTGTGTCAATCTCCAAGGAATGTCAAGGTTATTGAAATGCTTGTTCGTAATTTTAAGTCATCACATGACGTATTATTATTGAATTGAAGTGTTAGTATATGTGCACAAGGTAACTAATGCTAAGGCTGTTAAAGTAACAGTTTTCAGATGGACAATCCCGTTTCCCGTCAATTTCCTAACCCTGATCGATGATTAATAAAAAGGCAAATTAGTACAGGGAAACTGAGAAAACTGTACTTCTGAATAGATAGAGGTAAGTTTGAACACTTGCATTTATTCCACATCTCTTATATCTTGAGATAAGTGTCATTCCATGATTTACATTATTCAGTCTCGTTAGTTCTTTCTGATCTGTAATTCTTATATTTAGCTTTCTATTAGAGTGGATGTTTCCTCACCTCCCATATTTCTTATCTTATTAATTTCCTCTCTCGGTTTACTTCTATGAGGTGCCATAAATCAAACCAATACACATTCATATAAGACTATACTTGTCAGTCAGTCAGCTACAACGTAGGACCAGGCACATATGTGCATCGGTCCAGGTTGCCATACCGCATCAGCACAACAAGATGAACACCGGATTCATAGCAGTGGTTAGGTCGAAGGTGGTACTATACTTGAACTCTGCCTGACTAACTTAGAGGTTTCATTCGTAAATGAGGCCCAGTTAAGCTTGCATAATATATGGCACCAAACCTTGTAAGTCCAAGAGTTTTGTATGAACTGTGACAAATTCTTGGGCATTGTTCAATCATTTCCTTGGGACAAGTATCACAAAGTTGAAGAATATTGGCTAACATGAGTAAACTATATTCATTTATGCGGTCGATCACCATTTTTATTTAGATCGCTTCATCAAAAATAGGTTTGATTTTATTTTTTTCATCGATTCAGGTGATTATGCTTTTGTTTGTTTTAGATTCGTGGCTCCACTAAGGGGTGTCTACAAGCAGCACGTCGGCTTCGATCTCGTCTAAACTCACTTGTTCGTGAACATCGACCGGACTGTGAAGCTATTTTATCGGGCAAAACAATAGCTAATGATTTGATCAGTGAACCACTTAGTAATAATCCATCTGTTGTAGATAACTATGTACCAGAGTCGTATGTATTAAATACATCTCCCGTTCCTGTGAAAAACGAAGTTGGTGAATAATAGTTCAGGAAAAGCATCAGCACTTGTATAACCCGGTTAACTAAGCAAGCAAGCAGTTCAATATACACTCCCTAGCATATGTACACTATATATATTTCATATTGTATTATCCCATTTTTGTATATGTACAAGTATGATTGTTTTTGCATATTCCTTACTTTGTTAAGCAAGTTATCTATAAGCTATTCTTTTATTGTACACTATACTTGATATTGTATTTTAGTGTTACGTAATCTTTTTGTTACTTGACAATAACACTTTATCTCTTCATTTCCCAAAATGTATGGAAGCATTTATGTATTTATATATCTGTTGTTTCGTTGAATGCTCTATTTTGAATGATAGTTTTTAAGGAGGATACATAACCAAGTGCGTAAATCGTCACCTGTTCCTCTTCTACTCTAAGGTATCCATAATCTGTTTTGCATATGAATATCTTAGTTGAGGACTTCTCATAATATTTTCAAGTCAGAGTCTGTGTAAAACTATAATTAAAACAAATACAAATCAACCTTAAACAATTTATGTTTTAAACATTAGCGGTGACCCAACGTAATAAAATAGGAGTACATTGATAGTAATAAACAGATTAAAATATTTATGGACTCGCATTTTTTATACGAAGTAGTTGTATCAAGATAGACCACACCAATATTGGGCTGATTATAAATTTCAGTAGTTTAGAGTGAATCGGAATTGATTACTTGTCTAGTTATTAACATCACTAACAAGACACCTCAGCCGTTAACACCATAATTACTTTTAAGATGATTCGTTTAAAAATGATACATTCTGAGATGTAAGTTATGTTAGCTAGTGATCCGTACAACAGTTAGGTCTAAAAACTTTATTCAGTGCAGTAATTATAATCATGATCGAATTTGTGATTTTATTGTCGGGAGTTTGATAAGTAGTCACATAATCGTTATTTCAACTTTATTGGTTTTTTGTTAAAAATTTTATTGAATATAGGGTTATATATAACCTAATATCGTTGATACAGAAGCAGTAACCCGTTGGTAATTAACTGGTTTTTAGTAATTTTGCTGAAAAGCTCAAATTCTTGTTTAAGGTTTTGACTAACTGACATTACTCATAGAGTATATCAGGCTCTTTCGAAAGGCAGCATCGTGTGTAATATTAATTGAAATTTTTGACCTAAGCCAAGTGGGACAATATCATTATTTTAACAGTAAGGGTGTCTGAATTTGCTTGACTGGTCGGTTTAGTGTCAGATTTTGCATGACAAAACCTGTTGTTATAAATATACCTTCATATTTTGCTTGTACGTTGGGTTCTGTATTGGACTTTTGTTGTTCTTTTTATTCATTCCTAAGTAATAAACCAAATGAGCTCGACTCACCGACCACGTACAGGCCGTACGCATAATTCAACAATTAACCAGGTTGCTGAAATAAACTCGATTTTAACAACACCCAGTCTGTTCACTTCATATTTAATGTCCCTGTCTAGGATTTACTTTATAACAGCACTTGGCGTTGAATGTATTTATTTTCCAGCAATGGAAACATTCTGATCACCTAGGGGAGCATCCACAGATATTAAATAAATTCTCAGTGTTTAACTATTTAGACTGTTGTAAATTATAATAGACAAGTAAGTTACCGATAGACCACTTTGTATCGTCGTTTGCTAAGTAATTCGTGATTACCATTATGGGAAAATGGTTTTAGACTAAGAGACCAAAATCAAATTTCACAAATAGATAAACAATAATTATTAACTATGTTTATTATTCTTACTCCGAGGAAGACCTATTTTCTTTGGTTGAGCCAATCGCAAATTCATAATAACCATTTGGTTGTTAAACGAGACAGTCCCATACCTTATTTTAAGCAAAACATTCGCGTGAATTATTGGAAAAATTTACTGTCTTCAGGACTAAACACTAACTAATTCGAGTCCAACTACAATATTTTGATAATGATTATGTAACTATCAAAACTGCGGTACAAACCATCATGAATCATTGAGTTGGAATCTATTGCTCACTGTTGGAAACTTCATTCGATTTTTGATGTAGTTCAGGGATCAGCCAATAATACCGATGGTTAATAGTTTTACAATGACTGATGAGAAGTAGTTATTCTGTAGCGAAATTAATACACTAGTGGTGTATATTGATTTGTATGGATTTCGAAGATTTCTGTTAAGAATTTATCGCTGCTATATATATATATATATATTACATTGCTTTTAGACTGGATATTTCTTTATAAATGATAAAGTAATATTTATCAGGGAATTCTTAAGTGAAGATTTTCCTGTTGATTTTTGGAATATACTTTCAACTAATAAGGGACCTATATTTCATCCATAATCATCATCCATCGATTATTCAGCTGGGGTCACTTAAGGCCAACCGGTTTTCGATAGTTTATTTTAATATGAATATTTACACATCTGTGTTATTCACTACATCAACTCATTCGATAAAGTAGCTTATCTTACATACACAAGTTAATACACCCGGCTTTGAGCTACACTATTTGTGTATGAATTACCAATGAGTTTTAGACTTGAAGTCATATGTAAACCAGCTGAGTAATATAAAAATAAGGAAAATGTGATTTAAATTACTGTCATATTAGTTGATAGCTATAAAGTTATGTAGCTTCTCTGATCAGCTGATCTTACTAATGATACTAGTTATTTAGCTTTGACATTGATCATACGTTAATTGGGAATGTCAATCTTGATGATGTATATCTGGGTATGTATGCAACTTGAAAAAGATGCATACAAAATTTACGTATTTTGTCTGATTAGGTTAACTCTGTTTCTTTTTTTTAAGGATTCATTGTATATGACATTCAAACTAGGCTATTGATATGAGGTATTTATATTTATTAATCTGAATTGGATACCAACTAACTGAACTATAAAAAGGCTAATTAACTTGAAAGTGCAAGAAATATGATTGTGCTGTTATAATTCTGCCACCTATCTTCGTTTAGTGTTTTGTAGATTGTCTTTTTTATCATTGGCAATGATAAGTTGCGTGGCTGATTCCTAATAGTATGGTACTTTCATAAGGTTGTCCTTCGATACAGAACAGTGATAAGCTGTTCTAAAATTTCATGTACCGTTTAATCATAACTGTTCCCTCCTACTGAAACAGATTGAGCCAAAGGTGAGTTTCGTTGCTACACAGAAAGATTAAGCTGTTACTAAGTACTGTGTCTCTGAGACTCTATACAAGAACTCAGTGTGATATAATGGATAATAATATGTTTATCTCTGAAGATTCTCTGTTTGCATTCAAATCGGATAGCCGGCTTTATTCATTGGGAATCTACAATCTCGTACCACTAACATATGTTATGTCTCTGAAACTCGGAGTGAAGATCCGATTATGGACATTCACTTGACCACAGCTAATTAACAAAGAGGACCGGTGCGATTTAACCTCCATTCATCCGGCGACTTGCTGCTACTTCTCATAGCCTCGATAGCGTTGGTGTAGCACTAGGTTAAAGAGTAGAACAGACTCTCCTAATCTGTATTGTGGTATACAGTGTCTTGTGTTCTCCTCTACCAAAGGAAAAATTAAGTGTTAAATCCGGATGAATAATAAGTGAGTGGTAACTGATAGGAATTATTTATGAAATATTACATGTATTCTTATTGGATAACTATTAAGTAGGTATATTATATGTATATTCATATTCCTTTTATTATAAGCTTCCATTCAATTTATTGACTACTATTATACGATTTACTGTTAAGTTATTCCCAGTTAATTCCTCCATACTTACAGCCACTTTGGCTTGGCCTTGCATAATTGTTATTTTCTATTTCATGGTATGATGCAGTCCGAATTGCATGTATATAAACTGCGTATGTCTGAAATATATGATTCGTACCGTGGGAGCTGAGAATGTGTTCTGGACTCAAACGGGCAGGGCTAGGAGAGAAGAAATAATAGGGACTCTAGGTTTCTCGTACTGGTTAACGTGTCATTGGTTTGGCACAATGCCAAGATCATATAAGTCGGTGTTCTATTGGCGATTTTATCACGTGATAATGAACAAGGCATAAGACCATAACAGTAAGGACTCAGAAGGAGAAATGCACAGTGTTGTTTTTTCGTCGTCTCTACTTATGCTCCCACCAATGGCAATCCGGATGAAAAGAAAGGTGAGGTTTACAGGAAGCTTTCTGAATTTCTTCAAGACGTTAAACTCCCAGACTTAGTAATCGTAGCACGTGGTTTACATAACCAAACAAGAAATCTAAACCAAATCGAGAGGTTTACATGAGTTTTAAGGTGCCCCATATCAGCAAGCACATAACGATAATCATCCGCTCCAACTGTTCTCAAACAGGCATTTACTTCTACCAAGCACCAACTTTAAGCATAAGGCAATCCCCAGGATTAACTCAATGATGAACACAAATGGACCTTATCATCATTCATCCTTGGAGAGGCTTGGTAGAGGACCCACATATTCTGGAGCAGATGTTTTAACTCTGATCATACTTCACCTAGGGCACGGATTTGATAACCGCCCGGGTTACGTTCCTAATGCTGGTTTGCAGGTAGAGCGTGGCATTTGAGAATAACGGATATTCGTAGGTTACTGGTATTAGTCTTGTAGGACCAGGCAGGAAGATAGCTAGTGGGGGTCAAACGAAGAATTGGCACCAGTCCATGAAGTCATTGATAACTGGAGTGGAGTGTTAATAGGTGTACACTAACTGGTTTTATCGTAAATGATGGTTGAAAAATTTGGCTATTATGGTCCAGGTGTATTCACTCTTTGTCGTCCTTTAAAAATTCAGTCCTGAAGTATCCCTATACCGACTTATACATTTTTGTGCCTAGTCTTTTTTTTACCATTTCTAATTCGCTTACTACTTTTAATACTGTAGTACTTTTCTTTATAAAGTTATCTCACTGAGTTAATATATTGTCGAAGCATGAACTGCTGCACAAATGTGCCCGATACTACGTTGTCTAAGGTAGACAAACTGAGTGACTCACTGAGATCTTAATCCCAGCCTTGGAAGTGTTGTTATTGTGCTTTTTGATAGTGTATCATCTTCATTTAGTGTATTGCTAAACGCATCTTCAAAGTTTTACTAACTACACATTTTCATTTTTTGCATGTATTGAGATCAATTGATAACATTCAATTCCTCTCATTCAATTACAGGCTTACTTGTGTTCTTGGCTTGTTTCGTGTGACAGAGCAAAATACAATCCCTGAATATACCTTTCGTTATAAAGAATTCAATTGTCGTTGGTGCGTTTGTACCTGGCTTTAAAGATACTCGTGAATCTAGGATTATCGTATGATACTCGGAATCAAATGCAAGAAGCATATTATCAGCTATAGGATCACCAGAAATATATTAAGGATTTAAATTATTTGACGATTATGACGACAGATATCGATTATCACATGTTATTTGAACAAAGACATTTCTGACGAAATGATTTTCTTTTAGATGTATGGATTACTGGTGCAAGTTTCATTGTCTTTCTTTG